AACAAAATTCAAAAAAAGGATTTTTTTTTTTTTTTTTTTTTTTTGGCATTTGTTTGGTGTATGTGTTTTGAAGTCGTGAAATTTTATTGGGAATCCATTTGGGTTGTTTTATTGGAGTTGTTTTTGGCAAGCATCTGTTCTCTTCCACCACACTCACTATTTTTTTGATAGAAGTCCTAAAAAAAGAGCTATATCTTAATTTTTACAAGTCCTCTCTTCGCCCATGTTCTTCAAAGAAAAGGTAAGAACAGTGGTTATTCTGGGTCTGATGAAGTTGTACAAGTGATTGATAAGTTAAAAATAAAAGGGCAATTCAAGTGCACGAGTCTCTCTCGTCACTACGGGGTCTGGGGAGAGTCAGATGCACACAATCTTACCCCGAATAGAGAGACTTTGTTTCATTATTCTTTGGAGACATGTCATGTTATTTGTTAATATGGTGTATGTTGGCCCCGTTTCATAACCCACAGCATTAGGCACAATTGAGGTTTGATTGTACAATCTAATCAGCAAATATGCTTGCTCCAATAGAATCTTCAATTTTTGTGGAATTTTGGAATTAGACTGTGACTGTGAGTCTGCATTGAAGCCGGTTTTATGAAACACCCTTGGGTACAAGCATTCATTTATATGAAACTCCATGTTTATGTTCAGGTGCCCGTAAATCCTGTACAAAGGCCTGATGAGATGATGCAAATCCAAAGTAATGCATCGAACCAAAATGCAACTCAGAATTATGATTTGCTTTCTGAGACGTTAATACCAACAATGATCATGTGGAGATACCATGGAAAGGATGTAGCCATTGAGGGTTCATGGGATAACTGGAAGACAAGGTGTATAAGATCTGTTTTAAGTTTCTTCTTTTTGTATTCTGTCTGAATTTTACGCTTTCCAAGACAATATGCTATAATCAACAATTAACTGTTTTCTACCAGAGATTTCCTACAAAAAACAGACAATGACTTCGCGATTATCAAAGTGCTCCCATCAGGTGTTTACCACTTGCGGTTTATTGTTGATGGACAATGGAGGCATTCTCCAGACTTGCCACAAGAGCGCGATGATTTGGGGAACATTTTTAATGTTTTGGATTTACAGGTAAATTTGTCTTTTTTTATTTTTATTTACTTCCATACAATATATAGATATATCAATCCCATGAACTGTTGTTGTCTGAGGAGAATGTTTTTCTTTTACTCTCTGTTTTCTTGTTGCTAAAAACACTTTCTGAAACATAGAAAGCAGACCCTCAATGTATTATATTTAGAAAAGTATGTTTTATTGTTTTTCCATATACATGGCCAGTGCGCATCTCTGACTCGGCCTCATATCCATTAAACTTGTTCCCTTATTTCATATGTAGTTTCTACTGATGTGAAAATATTTATGCTGGGCATCCTTTTCTTTTTTGAGTGGCCAAAGCAAATATGCTTTAGAGACATCAGAGAAACTATTTGCACAAAATAAAAGTAGCTTGGATGTCTAAATTAGAGCATAAACAGTAATTAAAATCAAATGTCTCTCATTTTTATGTGATAAAAAACTTCCCCAAGTTGCTGATATCAGTATTTTGTGTCTGTATCATGCTGATACAAATACAAAATATTTCAACAGTCTTTGGATATAATACCTTCTTCAGAACAATAGTCCAATCCTTATGGTAAACTCTTTAACCTTTCAGCAAAATAGCTTCATCAAGATGGACATAATTTATTTATTTTTTTGGATGAGGTACAAACTTAGCACTGGATAACTGGCAATAAGGTTTAAAGATAAATGGTATTCGTTTCATTGTTGCTGCATTTTGTTTTCATCTCATAAGATCTATGATTTTTCGTGCTCGTGCTATTTCTTTAGCCTCCAGAATTTTCAAGAATTTACTTGCTGCTGATGTAACACTCGTTACTTAGCAACTGATGCTGTCCAAAAACCATGTATCTGTTTGTGCTACCTTTTGTTAGCAACTATTACTTACAATATCAATACCATCATTTTGTTGCCAAAAAGGTAGCCTTATGAGATTGACCCTAAGAGGCTTTTCTATCTGATACTCAGTAAATACATAACCGATGACTTCCTGTTTCCTATTGTTCGGTTTCTGATGAGAATTAGTCAATATCTTCTTACTAAAAATATTTATTGGCATTGCATCTCTTTCAATCAGATTACAGGAAGGCCTCAAAGAAACATTCTAACCTTCAATTGTTCTACTATTAACAGTTGAAACCTATAATTTCCTTAGTGTCAAAAAGGTTTTTGATGCCTTAACATGAGGCTTGAAAATTCATATGACACATGCCTTGTATTATAGACTTGCATCACTGTAATTAGCCAATAGCCCCTCGTACTCTGCCCATATGTATAAGATCACACCCAAGCTTGGCTTGTCCAATGGTGACTACTCCTTAGACAAGTTTAATACTCATTTTTCAATTTTCATATACTTTTTAAAATTGTTCTAATTCAAATAAACCATGGACTATGTGCCACCCCTTACAGATTAGGCTATAAAAAATAAAAATAAAAAAAGTTTCCGTCATTTACAAACTACTGGCTCAAGTAACTTAAGAAAGCTTTATTCGGTTTCCAAGACAAAATAAATAAATAAGTAATTGGTTTTGAAATTTTTAATGTTAACAATCGACCTTGAGCGTAAAAACTGTCATCCTCAAGTTTTCTCACACTTGAGCCGCTATTTTGGCACTAGTGATTAGAGTTGCCTTCAAGTCTAAAAAATCTTGCATAGTGGTGATGTCAGTCTTCTTTGTTTGGAGGTTATGCACAACAACTGGACCGACCATTTATTTATTTTTGGAGTTGTTCATCTCCTCACGTCCATTTCTAAATGGATTTTAAGCAGGAATTTATACACACCATTCTTAACTAATCTAATGCAGTGTCATCAATTTATGTCACACTTCATGACAGGGACACTTAAACAATAATGGAATATGAATGAAATGCTCTTGGAATAAAGTTTTAGCTTTTGGTTATCTGATTACATCAATAATCAGATTACAAATTCACCAATTTATTCTGCAGGATTTTGTTCCAGAAGTCGTTAATAACAATTCCGACTTGGAGTCTCCTTCTTCCCCTTTTTCTAGCTATAACAACTTACCCTTCAGTTTAGAAGATTTCAATGAAAAATTGCCTGAATTGCCTCCGCTACTGCAACAATCACCACTCGATCAATCATCATCCTCAAGGGACAGTACCGAGTTTCTGGAGAAGCCTTTAGCTGCAGTGTTGAATCATCTATACATTCAGAAAGGGCGCACGGGCGAATCTTTGGTGGCACTTAATTCCACTCATCGCTTTCGCACAAAATACGTGACAGTTGTACTTTACAAGCCACTGAAGAAGGCAAAGAAATGAAATATTTCCCCAAATTCCTGGATTTTGAAATATAGATATGATATTACTAGGAAAATTGTTATATGCCAATTGTATTAATTGCTTAGAAGAAAGGCTAATGCAGGAAAAAAATAGGATTTTTGCCATATAAACCTATTTATGGGTACTTCTATTCATTTTGGATATGATAATTTACTCCTCTTCTTGCATCAGTGGGATTGTAATTTATTGACTTCACTGCGGAAAAAAAATTTGAATCTGTAAAGATTGGATTCATACTGATAACTTTATGCCCCATACTCGTTTCTTGTGTGATTTTCTGGAGCTGATGGCACTACATATTGTCTTCAATTTTGTTCTTGGCTCAGAAATCTATAATCGTCTTACTGGACAGATTGTTGGATGTTGAATTCTTTTGAAATTTATGCTTAAATGTTCAATTTTATATTTTTCTATTTTAGTTTTGGCATGTTGTGTGAGATTTTTGTTGGAATCAAATGTCGGACATAGACAGCACTGAACTTTACTTGACCGACAATCCCATCTTTGGTTTAGTAGATCTGGTTAGTTATAAAATAACTTGTAATCAATTGAACCATCTGATACACTCTAAAGTGAGCTTTGTTTTCCATTTGAAAACTCAAACAATGGGGAAAATTTAGGGCTATTTGTAGATTGAGTTAGAACAACATGGATTACGTTCAAGAAATGCATTTTAGCTCAAATCTTGATCGGTTCTTATAGATGAACACAAATCATGAATCTTTATTTATTAGAAGTACATATTAGAACATTTTAATGGGAATTCACGACTCATATAACCCGTCTTGAATATCGTACCAAAGGAAAACTGTCTCAACAGTTGGATGCTGCCAGCCAATGCCAATGGTAATCTCAAATTTTATATGGAGATTGTTAAATCCACTGCCTTTTAGTAATCACCCTTTAAGTTTGTACCAAGTTATTACCTCATACAGTGTGGAAAAAGAGAAAAAATGCTAATAAGCAAGCATATCAATGATTTTCATTATGACTATGCCAGCTGTCAGTTTGATTTCAATTTTTTTTTTTACTATTCAATATGAGCATATTCTAATTTCTTTTTTGGGGAACATCGGAAAGAAAGCATATACTAATTTCAAGATGCTCTCAAAGTGAATGGAGAATATGATCAAAATTTAATCATTGAAATCATCTAACTAAATGATATAACTAATGAGAAAGGAGCCCCTTCTCTTTTCCCCTGCTGTCTTCCAATACCTGCACTTAGTGAAAGCCTTTTTGTTGGTGATTGATAACTCCCATTGTTGTGTCATTAACATGATAACAATAACATGTTTTTATAATGATCCTACAAATAAATAGCCATTTAATTAGCATTTTGGAAGTAATTGCCTAGTTTTTAAGAGGTCATATCAATGTATTCTTTGATTTTGAAAGTAAGGAAGTGTAGACGCGCCCGCGTGGGGGGCCCTCGCTACAGTTCGGACTCAATTTGTGTCACGGTTCTTAATCTGAACCAAAGAGTCCAAATCCGGCAAATCATTTTGAGAAAATAGATTTTTGAAAGAAGTGCCAAACATGGACTGCTTTGCCAGATACAGAGTCGCCACCTAAATATTTTATTTTGAGGAATTTAAGAAACCCTGACTCAGTGCGAAAGGCCACGTGTCCGTCATCACCAAAGTTGCCTCGGCTCGGGAACTTGGGTACGATTGGGGAAGGTCAGCTATGAGCACCCCCTCTCGCCCGATCCGAAGATCGGCCTCTACTAACCGTGATATCTTGTTTTGAAGGCATTATGTGTTCTTATTCCATTTATTAGCTTATAATTACTATGTTATGCGCGCAGCAAACATGTATAGACCAAATCGCCTAAATTGGAACAAAACATTACATTTTCGTTTTGAAGATGGTTTGCTACTCGCAAATAGGCTAAAATGCAGGTTTTGCCACCCTCGAGTGGGCTTTTAGAAAAGATGGTTTTGCCACTATCGGGTGGGCTTAAAACTCGCAGTTTTAATGAATTATCCCAATTTAGGCAATTCGACCTTCATCCACAGGCATTCAAGCAGTTATATCACATAAGCAGCTAGCCTCATGGTAATCATGCAATTATGGCAACACTCACACGCATGCGGCATGCTAAAGCATAAAAGCTCACCTAGTACTCCAAGCCAAAACAGAAACCAGTTAACTTTGGCTGCCATTGTTACAGAGCAAATCTTGCTTTGTTTTTGGATATGGTTGTTGTGGCATTGATATGTACTAGTCTAGATATTATAAACCTCATCTATCCACTTAAACATTTGAACAACATGCCCCAAATGGCCCACTTTGCCCATAGATATGTGGTACTGAGCCATCATTTTTAGATGTAATGTAAAAAGTCAAATAGACCAACTTTGGAGAGGTATGCTGGGGAGTTAACTCAATCCCAATGCACGAGTTTTTCATTACTATGGGTTCTAAAGAGGATTAGATGTACTTAGACTTGCCCGCATGCGAAGAGACAGTTTTGAGACCAATTTTTGGTAAAAGAAAGTGCCACTTGTAATGAATTGATTGGTCCTATGATATGATGGAACTGGCATTATGCTTGAGCACTTTAAAACAATGATGCCATGTCATGCCATCACTCCACCTTTCATAAACACTATCGCTGTGTTTGGTTGGGAGATTTGAAGAGAGATTTGGAAAGAGAAATGGAAAAAGTGTGTGAAACTAGGTGAATTATAAGTATGTTTTATTCACATTTCACCTACCTTTTCCATTTCCCTTTCCAAATTTCTCCTCAAATCCCTCAAACCAACACAGCATAAGTAAAATTGATTGTGGTTCACACTTCTTCCATTTATATATCCTCTCTTTTCTCTTTTCTTTTTTTTCTTTTTTTCCCCCTCTTTTCCTCATGCCAATCTTTGACTTATATTTTCTTGACAGTTTGACAGAAGAAAAAAGCAAGGTAGAAAGTAAAATGGGGAATTTACAAAAGTTGAAATGTTAAAAAGTTTTACGTAAATAAAAGTTTTGCACTATTGACTTGACTATTGTATTGATCTTATTAAATCACCATTTTCTTTGCAATATCATACTCAATATTAACTGGCAGTTTATTTTTATTTATTTTTTATTTTTAAAGACTCAAAACTGATTTGAGACCTCCCGATGCTCTCATTTAAGATTAAAATCTCGTTTGGGAACATGCTAATTTAGTAACTTTTTAGCTAAAATATGAGCTAAAAAAAACTAGTATGTTTAGGATGACTTTTTGACTTTTTACGAAAAGATGTGCAAAAAGTAAAGAGAAAAGAGAATCTTTGACTTTTTTGTATGAGTTGTTGACTTTTTGACTAATTTAATAATTTTTTGATTTTTTAACTAAAAGAAAGGGTTCTCAAACGAAGCCTAAAACTTAAAAGAAGACTTCAATTTCTTCCGAAACATGTCAATTGAAATTTCAAAAAATGAATTCTCTCTTTTAGATCTTGGTCATGAAGTTGAGCAAACAGCAACTCGAATCAATTGAGTACTTATTGACATATGTGAAGTCAATATGTCTTGTGTGTTTACCACTAATATTTTTTCCTTAAAAAAATATAAGAAATCATTATTCAAGCACCAGATATCACATTACAAGATGTTTTTTCTCGATATAATTAAATAAGATAACACTTCTCAGCCAAAAAACAATAATAATGATAACAGAACACTAGATTTAAAAAAGTCATAACTTAAAACCTTGTTTGTCATAACTTAAAAAAGTCAAAAAATTATTATGCTATTTAAGTCACATCATTTTATTTAAGTCATATCATCTCTCTATCACATCACTTTAAACCTTACCCATATTTTATAAAAAGTCAAAAAATGTACTTATTTAGATCATTCCAAATAATCCCTAAGTAATGAGCAGTGTTTTTTAATATTACTGTTACCTTTTTTTTTTTTTTTTGCGCGTGGCTATGCTATGTGATGCTATGTGTTAGGTTGAGTTTTCATTTAAAAAAAAAAAGGAGAAGATATTTTTTGAAAAATTAGAAAATATTTTGGTCTCCAAAAAAATCAGGAAAATTGATCTAACATCCTTGTCCAACTTTTAATAATGGGAGAGGTCCCCAATATATTTTTTTGTAACCTAAAATCCCTCACCCACATCCATGTATCACACCATCTCTCTCTCTCTCTCTCTCTCTCTCTATATATATATATATATATATGCATATACCAAATCTCTATTCCTCTCTCTCTTCCATCTTTGTATTCTCTCTATCTCTCTATCTATATATATGCATATACCAATCTCTATTCCTCTATCTCTTCCGTCTCTATATTCTCTCTTTCTCTTCCCCCCTTCTCTCCCCCTCTCTCTCTCTCTCTATATATATATATATATATAAGAAGGATTGATGTTTGTGGTGGTGTTTCGGGAAGAATTAGTCCAACACATGGTTTGTGCTTGGAAACGTAAGAAACTAGGTATGACAGTAAATGATATCTCTGCTAGCTGTTTTTTCTTCTACAATTCAACATCGTCAAGCTTCTATAGCTGTTTGTGTGTATTCTCTCTTGACTCTAGTGTGCTTTAAAATGAATATAGAGTTGAATGACAAACAAATTGGTGACCATGTCCCTGTTTTCTGTACAGACAATATATATATTTCTAAGACACATATTACTTGTTGAATTACTTCCCTTGTAGAGGGAAGAATTAAAGGGTTGACAAGAAACTATTCTATTTTTTTTTCTTCTCTCTCTTCTCTATATAATACACAGAGAAATTTCTTCAAACCAGAGAAATTTTCAAAACACAGAGACAATCAAAGAAATTTCTCTGAGTTAGGCGAAATTTCTCTGAATCAAAATTTCTTTGAATTTATCTGAATTGGGCCAAATTTTCTCTAAGTCGGGTGAAATTTCTCTAAGTTAGGTCAAAATTTCTCTGAGTTTGGGCCAAAAATTTATTTGATTTTCTATAACATCTGAATTTTTCGTGATCCATCAAATTATGTTGCATGCTTGATTTTCACTAGTTAATTGTGTCCTTGTGTGTAATTTTCCTCTTCAGATAAATTTTCTCTAGCATCACAATTTTCTTTAAACATATTGAATTCACTTTACTCTATATGTCTTACTTGATTTTCTATGGCTAGTTGTCCCTTTGATTTTCTCTCTAATTTTTTTTGGCATTTTAATTTTTTCTGACCACAATAAACTCCCACTAATTTGTGTTGTTTGTTTGATTTTCATTGGTTAGTTGTTCCTTGAGCTAAATTTTCTCTAACATTTGAATTTTTCC